GGACGAGGCGGAGGACTTGATGGAGGGCGAGGCGGTCTCGGTGGCCCCGTGCTGCAGTTTGGGGGACGAGGGGGCGGAGGAGTCCGGGGTGGCGATCTCCTCGATGTCCGAGTAGGAGGACGCGGACTTGGGGCCCTTCTTGATGCTGAAGGCTTTGTTGAAGGAACTCCGAAGCTAGAAGAGAGCACAGCCGGGCAGAGAGGTGAGGACTCCGCGCGCGGGGAGACCACGGGGCGCGGGGCGGTCGGGGGGACTCATGGGACCTGAGCAGAGGGGCCTAGAAATCAGGGCTGAGCCCTGGCCGGGGCGGCTCCATGGACAGAGCGCCAGCCCACGGACTGAAGGGTCCCGGGTTTGATCCCCGGTTCAGGGCGCCTGCCCGGGTTGTGGGCTCGGTCCCCAGGGGAGGGCTGGGTCCCAGCCCACATGCATCCTCTCCCTTCCTCTCTGAAATCAATAAAAAAAAAATATTTTTTTTTAAAAAAAGAAAGCAATCAGGGAGAGGTATGGGGGGGGTCTGGCTGGCGGCTGTGGCCGACGGGAGAAATTCATGGGACTTCTCTTGCCCCTGGGGGAGCTGGGAGGGACAGGGACGCCCCCAGGGCCACAGGGGACACCCCACGGCAACCCAGCCGCCGCCGTCTGCAGAGACCACTGCCTGTGCCACCCGGCCTCGCTCCCTGGGGCCCGGGTCCAGCTCTGACCAGGTGCAGCGGACCAGAACCTCTACACGACAGCCCGAAACTGCCCAGGTGCTTCTGTGGACACGGACAGAACAGGGGCGTCCACAGACGTTTTCTTTAACGTCTCTGTGCTCAGCACAGCACAGACGGGGGCGGGGGGGGGGAGCCACCCCGTCAGGGCTCTCTACCCTCCCCGCTCACAGTTCCTGGAGTAAGGGACGCTTCCCGGCCTCTCCTCGCAGCCCGGGGGACCCTGGGACCACAGCGTGGGGGGGGTCTCGGGTGGCGATCAGAGCGTGGGGGCTTGGGTGTGAGCTCGAGGGGCCAACCAGGGTCCTGCGGTCCCACACCCGCTCACATGCATCCACACGCATGCACACCACACGGGGACACGGATGGAAGGGTGGACGGCGAGACGGAGTGAAGGGGGGGCCGGAGGCCGGGGGGATGAGTAGACCAGACCTTTGGGACAGTGAGATGGGTGAAGTAGGGGAATCTGCCCTGGCTGGTGTGGCTCCGTGGATAGAGCGTCAGCCCGCAGACCGAAGGGTCCCGGGTTCGATTCCCGGTCAAGCACAGGCCCTCGGTTGCAGGCTCCTCTCTGGCCCCGGCCCTGGTCGGGGTGCGTGCAGGAGGCAACCGGCCAGTCCTACGGACCCGGGGCCGCGAGCAGGGAGCCCGCACAGGGGCCCCTCCCGACCGCCGGCCGCGGGGGACGGTCAGCCACGGGCAGCGGAGGGTCACCCGGAGGGGAATGAAACCCGGCCCTCTCTGGGCCCGGTGGCTTTGGAAGGAATCGGAAAGTTCCACCGATACCTCTCCCAGAAGCAGAAGACATGGTCCCAGGAGCATGTATAGGGTGTCCTAAAATTCACGCAAGATTTGAATTCTGCGCGAGCATTAACAACAACAAAAATAAAAGCCTAATTTTACTGGGTTTATTGGATCAGATTCTAATATCTGTGGCCCTTTGATGTCAATCCCTTCCATTGGATCAGCATGACCAAGGACCAATGACGGCCCAGGAGCAGCCATCCTATAGGGACCCAGGGGACACAATGGCTCTGGCTGTGCACCCCTCAGAGAGCAGCCCAGATCCCTACCAGTTCCTCGCCCAGTCCCTCTAAGGCACCTGGATAGACACCCTCTGCATCCGCCTTTAATGTGATGCAAACAAGTTCTCTCCGGAGCCAGAGCCCAGGCTCCTACCTGGATGCTCCTGACGCCAGGTTGGCCCTGGCTGGGTCGGCTCCGTGGACAGAGCGTCGGCCTGCAGACCGAAGGGTCCCGGGTTCGATTCCCGGTCAAGGGCACAGGCCCAAGTTGCGGGCTCGATCCCCAGTGTGGGGCGTGCAGGAGGCAGCCGATCCATGGTTCTCTCTCATCATGGATGTCTCTCCCTCTCCCTCTCCCTTCCTCTCTGACATCAATAAAAATATATTTTAAAAACACACACACTCACACACAACAAAAACAAGAAAGATCGCTTTCAGGGCAGGAGCCCGTTTGGTGGATGCTGTGACCAGGGGCAGATGGGGTTGGGGGAAAGAACGGGACCGTGACCTTCCCATGGGCCCCTCCTCTTGCTGGGGATTTTGGGGGGATGAGGGGGCAGCTGCGGCCAGACCATGCAGTGGGGGAGCCGGGAGCTCGGGGGAATCGTCACAGTTAGTTTTACGAGCGGCCGGTTGGTCTTTGGGGGGCAGAGCTGCCGTGGAAATGGGGGGTCATGGCGCAGGAAAGAGAAGACAGGGGAGGAGGGGGGAACCACGTCTCTTACCTCATAGACCTGGAAAAAAATGAGG